ATCCTGATTTGATGGTACACCGACTTCAGGTCCATCTCAGTGAACACCACTACTCCACATAGCTTATCTAGCAACTCATCTATCACTAGAATAAGAAAATTGTTTGTCACAGTCTCCTTATTTCGGACCCAGTAATCCAAACAAAATCTCCATTTCTCATCATTCTTCTTGACCAATAAGACTGGGCTAAAAAAGGACTCAAACTCGACCTAATTATTCTTGCCTCTAACATCTCCCAAATATGCTTCTCAATCTCATCCTATGGATCTGGGGGTTACGATAAGGCCTGACGCTTAAAGGTGATGGTGTGCTCTCCTCCCTGGGGGGTGGCAATCCTTAAGGTGGCTGAAAAGCCTCACTAAACTATTATATAAGTGGCTATACTAAAGGAGGAATGTTTTCCCCCTCCTCCAATTATATCCCCTCTAAGCTCTGTAGCTCCACCAGAAAATCTCCTCCCACCTCCAGGATGATCCTCACCATGGTTCTGAGAGACAACATGGATTTGGATAACCCTGCATCACTCCTAATCATCACCCTTCTTCCCTCCACCATCAGCTCCATCGTTAGTGCTCCTCAATTAACCTTGGTATCCCCCAAGCTGTATAGTCATTTCATTCCCAGGATGACATCAGTATTTTCTCACTCCCATGAAATGAAGTCCTTCCTCACCTGGACCACCTGTACGGTCAGAACCACTCTCCTAAATACTCCTCTACCCGTCTCCACCTTCCTAGTTCCCATCATCACTCCATAGTATCTTATGTCCACCAATTTCACTCTCAATTAGTCTACAACTTGGTTGGGGATGAAATTGTGAGTAGCCCCACTATCTATCAACATCACCACCTCCCTTTCACTTTCACTTTCATAGTGTGATTTGGAGTGAATCCCACTATTGACTTCAAGGAGATCTCTGTCATGTCTAGATACAACTCTTCCTACTCCTCTACCAATGCCTCACTACCACCTCCCTCAACTTCCTCATCAACATAGACGATGAGAAATTAAAGATTTTAATCCTTACACATGTGCCTCGATGTATACCTCTCATGACATCTGAAGCATAGTCCATTCGCCATATTCTCTTGCAGCTACTCAGTGACCTTCTTGAAGTTTCATCCGATTCCCCCTCATACAGGCTTCTCCTTTAAAGGCTACCGGGTGTTGGCCCCTTAAGTGCTAAAAAGATGATGGTCATCATGTACGAGTCTCCTGAACTGCTACCTCTGCCCCCTCTCCAGGTTTTTATGATCCGCCACTAATTTGGCTAGCTCCATAGCCTCTTCCAAATCATGAGGCCTCATCACTCTAACTACAGTCCGGATCTCTAGTTCGAACCACTTCATGAAGTTTCCCTCTTGTACAGTCTCAGAAAGCAATTTCAATCGGCTAGTCAGGTACTTAAACTTCTCATGGTATTCCACCACTGATCCTTCATGTGTCATAGCAAAGAACTGCTCATAGAAATCCCCTCCCTTCTATTTCAAAAACATTCCAACAAGCAGTCCTTGAAATCCCTCCAGCTTCGTATGGGTCATTTCATGTCTCTCCACCGAAACCATGCCAATGCCTTCACCTCAAAACACAAGCCAGTTGTCATCAGTATCACCTCCTCCGTCAACCCATTGACGGCGAAATACCTCTCCGCCTTATAGATCCATCCATGTGCATCCTATCCCTCAAAAATAAGAATCTTAAGCTTCATTACCCGTGGATCTCTTTTATTTCCCCTAATTTCTCCATAACTTCCCCTTTCCAAAGTGGGTGGTCCCTCCCAAGTATCTCAATCATCCCTTCCACGCTCATACCCACACCCTTCTTCAAATTCCTCGCTATTCATTTCAAAATTAGCACCCCTTCGCTCATACCCACACATCTCCTCCCTAGGAATAGGCTCTAGGAGAGGGATTCCATTTTCTCCCTCCAACATCTCCACCTCCTAATTTTGCCCTCATTAGATTAGGATTTCCCTTGCTCCCTTGGCCGTGGTGACACCCCTCGCCTTCGACGACGCCATTTTGGGTTGAGCCTTGAGCAACTTTCTCAACATTTCTTCTACTATGGCAAACTTTCCATCCATCTTCTCATGGACGAATGAAAATTGATTTTCGAATTCTGAAATCTTTTCCACAAAATCTGATTTTAATTAGCCAATCTACCCTTCCAATAGTTCTACTTCTCATCCAACCATAGGTTCCCAGATCAAATAGCTTTGATACCAATTTTTTAGGAAAAGCTTCTAAAAGAAGAAGAAAACTTTGGCTGAAATTGAATTTTAGCAAGCCCCAAACAATAAACAAGAAAGATTTATGTGGAATCGCATAACAGAAACTTTTTAATTGATGATAGGAAGAAGAAAACAAATAAGATATAATGGATCTTCAATTGGAGAGGAAGATCCGTCTCTCCCAAACCCTAGCCGCCCACTAGAGTCACTTCTACCTTTAGAAAAATTAAATTCAATCAATAGTAACATAACCATAACCCTAGGGAATTAACCTGCTTAAAGCATACGCTAATCATGTAGATCCCAAAACACCTAATGTGAAACATAATAAGAATTGCAAGAATTTAATTAAAAAAAAAAGATGTTAAGCTTACTAATTTTAAAATTAATATTTCACAAGATTAGATTCTAGGATTTATTAATTGTTGTTATGCTTTGGCATGCTGTTACAAACTAGATTAGGATTACAGTTTAAAATAACAACAAACATTATAGTAAAGCTAGACACACAAGTAACATAAATCCACCTGTTAACAAATAGAAATTTCACCTTGAGTTTTCCTCACACTCACTCACTCTTGAGGGTTGTTTAGCGGAAGAGTAATTTCAGCAAACTTAATGACGTCACTAAAAGATAGAGGATGCCGATAATATTACTCAATGAAAACTTCGCCGGAGGGGAAGGAGTCGGTGGATGTTGAATAACTCGCCATTGTCCGGGGATTTGGTGCTCGTCAATGGCGTTCGTCAAAGTGAAGAGGATCCGAACAACGTAGTCGTCAACTGTGTAGTCGATCTCAACACGTCTACTCGTCCTTGATGATCGTATACGAATCCTGAGTCTCTTTCAGGATCGGCCATTCATGGGGAGTAGGCCAGGGTGGTGTAGTTTCTTCCTCGGAGGTGTATGAAATAAGGGAGAAGATAAGAAGAGGAGGGAGAAGTTGGAGGGTTTCGGCCAAAGCTAGGAGAGGGTCCTTCTCACGTTAGATTTTAGGATTAGGGAAGGGAGCAAGAATAAATCCAAATATCTGAAATTTAATTTCAAATTTTAGGATTGTAGAGGAGGAATTAATTTGAATTTGAATCTCCTCAAATTTGGGATTATGTTGGGCAGCACCTTGATGGGAGGGATTTGACTGAGAGCAAGAGGGGAAAAGGGATTTAATTAAGAAAGGGGTGGGGGTCGGCCAAGGGAAGGGGAGAGAAGAATGTCCACATTCAATATATGTGAATCCTTGCATTAATTGTTGATGGGGGAATCAAATCTGAATTAATTTCAGATTTAATGTGATTGAAGGACTCCCTAAAATAGGTATAGGCTATTTAGGAAAGATTTTAAAATTTAAATTCATTTGAATTTGAATTAAAAAACTTTCCAAATAAGATATGGGCTAAGTTAGGAAAGTAATAAAGGGGTAATTGAATTGGATTCAATGGGGCTTGGGATAGGTCAGGCCGGTGGCTAAGGTTTGGGGAATTATGGTCGGCGGTGTGGAAGGAGGGGAAGGGAGCCAGCGATGTGATGGGGAGGAGGGTTTGGCCGGCGGTTGCCTTTGCCCTCACCTAGGGACTTCTCCTTTCTCTAGAACTCTCAACACTCGAGAGAACTAGAAGGTTGAAAATTTTCATTAATCAATCATTATCTCATACAATAGGGAGAGCCATTATATATAGGTCTCAAATAAAAGAAAAACACAAAGACTCAAATGCCATAAGGGCTACACATAAACTAATACCTCTTAGGGGTACAATGGTAAACCAGAACATAAATAAAAATAAAATACATAAATGCCTCATAAATAAAGACTTTGAATCGTAGCCGTCGATCTACGATTCCACCGATGATAGACGCGCCGAAATCTTCTACTGATGACCTCATCAACACCCTTTTTTTGAATTTTTCCCTCCTAATCCCCCCTTAATTTCCTTCCTAATTGGCTATTGGACCCGATTGAAGTCTTGGGCGGAAGCGAAACTCTTCTTCCACCTTTTGTACACACAGGCCAGTCCAGGAGGGATTGATCTAATAGAATTCTTCAAGAGTAGTACATATACAACTACTTAATCATGAGGAAAGTAAACATCTTGAATCACATTAGGCCTAAATTTTCTTCACTTTGATGATCACTTTCCTTTATCTAATTTATTCTAAATATATTTTTGTTGGCCTGCCAAAGTTCTTGATTTTTTTTAATTTGATAAAACTAGAATTTATAATATTGTGGAAAATTTTAATTGCTCATTAATTTTATGAGGTTTGAATTTCCTACTGGTTTTTTTAGAATTATTTAATCAATGCATTATTATTTGAGTTCTAATTCTCTAATTTCTTGATTTTTATCTAAAGAAAGTAAGATTTAAAGTATTTCAGCAATCTTCGATATTTTTTTATCAAAATTTTATTTCATCTTAATTGCATTAGGAACTCTAGACCCTAATTCATCATGCATCTACCTGCATATATGATGCAATTCTTACGCATCAAAAAACACATCTTAAAAAATCTTCAATTAATCAATCTTCAAAACTATTCAAAACCTACAATAAAAATAATACAAACTACAATGGTAGAATTAAAAAAAAAAAAAAAAAAAGCTACATGCACTACAAAGGTAGAATATCATTAAAAATAATTTCTTTAAAAAAAATCCAATTGGCCAACCAACACAACAAACAGATTACAATATTACACCCGCACCCAAAACTAGCTAAAGTTATCTTCCCGTAATGAAAGATAGAGTATAAAATAAATTGGTGCATGTAATACCTCCCTTAGTATAAGAATAAAATCCAATGGACTCAGCATCCCCACAAACTGCCCCTTGTAGAAGTCCCACAAAGGAGCTACAGGAATTCCCTGAAAATATCTTGCTTTTAGAAAATAAACATGATACATTGCTTAATCAAATTGAACAAAGATGTTTCTAACTACAAGACATTTAACAGGCAGCATTGAAAAATTATAATAATCATGAAAAAATACTAGATTGAACGAAATTTATAAAGGAAAAGTTTTAATAAAGATTCAAAGAAAATGAGAAGATGCATGCATTAGACGTTCCAAGATTTTTGCTAAATGACATGTAAAAGTCTAAAGCTTAGTAGCACTTTCACTCCTAAAGATGCAATAGATGGACATTATATTGTATATTTTGATGAGAGCAATAAAATGCATGTAATCAAATCATAAAACTCTGAACCAGCAGTGCGTGAGAAAATGGCATTGGATAGTGACTGCATCATCCATAAAGGAAGCCATTTAGGGAAACGGATGCAGAAGCAAAAGCATGGAATATAGCTAATCACAGAAACTTTACATTATTGCACGAAAAACTTTGATTAGAAAAAACAAATAATGCACGGAAAAAAATAGAATAATATAGTAATGATAATATAAATGCAGATGATATATGTTATAATTATTCAGCCTGCAGAAGAAATCATAGTTGAGATAAACGGTATAGTGATACTGTCAATGAGTAGTAGGCGCATATGCAAGTGCCATTTGTCTTCCAGAGAGATGAACAGTATTCAAATCCCTCAGAACAAAAAAAACAGCGATGATAAGTATGATCTTGAAAAGGAATAGATATTCTTCGATATATTAAATTACAAATTCATTAAAACATTATTAGACTTCAACATTAATTTCGAGACAAAAGGCTATTGATATAAAAGCAGTTTACCTGTTCATAAAGGATATGGAAAGCTTGTTTCACAGGTAAATTGACATCCAGTGCAATGACCTGATATTTCACATGAGCCCTAAGTAAAAGCAAATGTACCGACAAAAAATGGGATTTGACATGGTACAGTGACAGAAAAGTTGTATTCAAGAGGCATCAATACCTTGCCCGAATCTGGAAGCAAATCATAAGAAGTACTTGTGGACAAGAAAATAGAAATTTGATGACGGGACAGCTCTATGTCAGCCTCTGAGAGTCTAAGAGCTGTTTCATGTACTGAACCACCCGAAACGGTGACCTGTTTTGAACAGTAGGAGAACAAAGTTAAAAAGTTAATTGAACCTACAAGTATGCGTTTATAAAATTTAGAACATAAGTCTCAAATTTCAACAGTAAGAATAGTTAATAGAAAATAAATACAAAATGCGAAAAAACATTATCATCCCGACCTCAACATAATTCAAGGATATCAGTCAATCAAATCATTAACATATGTCAATAAGATGGTCAATGTTATACAGGAAAATTAATTAACTTGTCCTCTTTCTTCTATTTTAAGCAGAAGTGATAAAAAGTAAAAAACACATGTGATGCTGCCCTCTCTACATTGGGGAGCGCTGCAATACTAAGGAGGAGCATTGTGGCGCTGAGCTCTTTGCCCGAGAGCATCTAGAATATTCCGAGAGAGCATTGCGGAACTCTACGTTCGAGCGCCACAATGCTGAATATTGAAGTAATTTTTTATATACATAATTCTAAATTCATTTTCTCATCCCCCACCCACCTTAGCTTGTTGGAGAAGAAAGAAAAGAGAGAAGAGAAGGGAGTTCAGAGGCCGCAACGTTGAATTTGTTTGTCAAGCCAGTTAAGAGAATCTTTCTACTCGATATAAGCTCCCAATACCCTATTTTTTATTTCAATTCTGATGTTTGCATGAAAAGTTACAAAATAAAATGTGATTTGATGTGAAACCAGGAATTGTTCTCTTAGAAATTAATAAAAGTTTGTTAGAATAATGATAATACAATTTTAAGGCTTCTCACAATTGACACTTCAATAAAGATCTTAGAATTTAACAAAGTCTAGGCAAGTTCTTACAACTAAATTTGCAAGATCTATAAAATAACAACCTCAATCAAAAGTAATGACAATGAATAGCCAACTAGAATCCAGCGGTTAACAAAGCGATCGTCTCACCTTGAGGCTTAAAATCACTCTTCTATGTCTAGGGTTGTCGGAGGAAGAAGAACCACACAAGGAACGAGACCACTCCGAGGTAGACGGTGCCGGCGATTCGTAGTGATGGAGAGGGAGGCGTAGGATGTGGAAGTGGCGAGAAATGTTGACCGTCGATGATCCACTCATAGTCGGCAAATTGTTGGTCGACGACGTGCACAAGAGTGGGGAGGATTCGATCCAAGTAACCTCCAATTGTGTTGTCGTCGTGATCAAATCTCACGTCAAAGAAGGGGGATCAAAGAATGTGAATATCCTCGTGGATGTCAAATGCAAGTCCGCCTTCGAGTTCAGGATCCGCCATGCATCATGGGATCGAATAGGGAAGAAGAAATAGAGAGGTGGGGACTTGCCGTGAGTTAGGGAGAGGGAGGGAGGCCACGGGTTGGGAGGAATAGAGTGGGCGGGTGAGGCTATGGTGGAGAGAAACCAAATCTGAATTTTTATTTCAGATTCCAAATAAGAACTGCAGTTTTAATTTCAATTTCAGATTTGAAATTTGAAATTAGAGAAAGAGAGGGAGGGGAATTAAAGAGGCATTTAAGTAGTAATTAAGTGGGGATTGGAGAGAGAAAAGAGGAGGAGGTGGCCGGCCCCATGGGGAGTTGAGAGAGCACTCAGATCCATGACGTGGTCTCTCTAGAGAAAATCATGGAATTGTCAAATCTGACATTTAATTCTCAGGTTTACTGTTACAGGAGGATTTCCTAAATAACTTGCCTCTAGACACGGTGGAATTATCATGTTAATTGAGAAGAAATAACACAAGCCAACTTTCCAAATAGCAGGGGATGTAGAATAGGAAAGAAATTAAGGCTTTGGCATGGGATTTCAAATTTTGAAACGGGTTTGCGGGTGGGCTGAAGTGGGGCGGCTGTGGGAGCGGTTGGGAGGGATGGCCGGCGGCTTGGGTGTGGGGGAGGACTGCCGGTGGCTGGGCCGGCCAAGGGAGGCCGGCGGTGTGACGCCCCAGGCATCCATAGTGAAAGGATTCGTCTGACAGTCTTGATCGATCTCCAATCCTGCTGCCTTGCTCGGACCTGAAAATGTCAACCACATATAATGAGGTTTACAAAGCCCAGCAGGTCACCTAATACCTATAACTGAGATCAAAGCACAGCGATGATATCAATATGCATGTCAGTCAATCAACTCCATATCAATCAATGGTCAATGAATCTATGCAATACGGAAATCCATAGTCAATGAAATCAAGTCTGTACAGCGGAAATCAAATCAGTAGTCAATGCAGTACGGAAATCAATAGTCAATAATCAATACAGCGGTAAAAACATCGATAAATCAATACGCCTCAGCAATCAAATCAATAAGTGACTGGAAGCCAATATCTATCCATCGTAGCAGTGTCTATCAATCAATACTATCAGTTCAATCAATCGTATCGTCTAGTCAATTAATTGAATCTATATCATCTGTCGAATCAATAGAATGTATGTGTCAATTAATAACAATCAATAGCATCAATTAATTCAATAAAGGACTCGTGTCAGAACGTACTCTTGCAAATCAGTCAATCCAATTATTAGTACGATTTACTCGGTCTCAATATACAATATTCAATGACACTACGACATATTTAATAATGACGACGTGCGATGCTATAATAGGAAAATCATCTCAATCAATAGAGCACTTTCCAGTCAATTATATCTATCGTCAGGGAAATCCATCGATCAATCGAATCAACTCAATAAGCAATTAAAACAAATCTATACAATGAAATCATCAGATCAATTGAAATCAATACAATCAGCTCCATAAAGAAATCTATTCTACGATAAATCAAATCCATACGGCAACAATCCATTCAATCAATCAATCGATAATCGGTACGACGAATCAATGTATCAGTTAATATTCATTTTGGATGTCATGTATACATGTTAATCTATTAATCTTTGGCATGTGCATTCAAGTTCATATACGAAAGTTC